CATCCCCCCTTTCCCCATATTTTTTCCTTGCAGGTCGCGCCCATCCAATTTCTCTCCAAGTTGTCATCGTGCATGATGCTTCCGAAGATGTTGCCACTGTTGCATAGCATCTCCTTGGAGCCACGCGCCATCACTGTGAAGTTTGCACAAAGGCGCTACACCACCACTGTCAGAGAAGACGGTCAGCCAAAGATGCGAAGGAGCTCCGGTCGCAACACCGACCACTCCGCCGCTATGAGCGAGGAACGACCGACCGAAGTTGCGAGCTAAGGTTGTGAGCAGGAACAACTCACTTTTTTAATACATCTAAGGTGTTGCGGGAGGTGCTGATGATGCCAGCTCATCGGAGATGTTTCTGTGGGCAACGACCTCAGGACGAGAAATGTTGCGCGGTGGCGACGACTGAGCGCAACATGAGTAATGTTGCAAACCTCCGAACGCAACATGGCTCATGTTGCAAAACACTCATTAGTGCAAATATGATTGCAACATGAACGATGTTTCAACCTCCGATCACAACATAACTCATGTTGCAAAGCTCATCAATTGGATCGAGTGGCTACGACGCGGTGGATCCCGGCTAATCTTTTGAGAGATCTACAGGGTGACATGTAGCTTTGCCCTTATGATCAAGCTATAGGAGCAGTGTTGTTTGGCAAGTTGCCCAAGTCAAAATATGTAGAAGCACCTCGAATCCTATATACTCTCTTTGTCCATGAATAAGTATAAGTTTGACAATCGAAATTTGTTCATAAAAGAGTGTGTACGCTTTAAGAGCAAAGCTAATAGAAGAGTCTGCAGCCGGCTATGTAGTAGTGCCACGTGAGCTATATAGCCTACTCATATAATAAACTAGCTCTACGTTAGCTATAGACTTTAGAGCATCTCCAGCCGCGCCCTTAGAAAGGCCTTCCCAGGTGTTTTTTTCGCGCCGGCGCAGAAAAATCGGCCCAGTTGCGTCTCCAGGAGCCCGATTTTTGCCGGCCTGGATCGAATTTAGCGCCGGCGGACCCCTAGGCCGAACCTGGCACGCTGGGGGGCGCTCGGGGGCGCCATGGCGAGCGGTTTTGGCGCGAAAGAGCCGCGGGTCCGCCGCGTCAGCGACACCGCGCGTCTTCTTCCCTGAACGCCTCGGTTTCCCGCGGGGAATCAATGGCAAGGATGTCGCCGGTCAGCCTTACCAGTGATTCCTCACGGGCGGCGCGTCATGGGGCGGCGCGTCATGGGGCGGCGTGTCGACGCCTCCCCTCCCTCACACGCGTACACACGGGGCGGCGCCGCTATATAAGCCGGTGGCCTCCCTCGCCTCTGGCCACACCAGCCCTAGCCTGCCATCTACATCTCTCGAGCCCCGCCGCCGAGCCCTCCCTCTCCCTCCCTCCCTCTCCCGATGGCCGAGCGATTCCCCGGCGATGAGGCCGCGACCAACGGCTTCGGCCGCCGATCGCTCCGCGAACAGGAGTCTTGGCTCCTGTTCTAGGCGAACATCCCGGCGCCGACGCACATGCGCGTCGGGCCAACGGGGTGGAGACTCAGCAACGGGGGAGTGCCCATTCCCCCGTTGCCCGACGCCGTGGCGAAACCGGGCTACTTCGCCGACGAGGTCGACGTCGTGCGCGCCTCCTTCACCGACGCCCAGCTCGCCCTCCCCGAGTATGCCGTCGACAACATAACGGTGTGGACGGCGTACTTCCAGCGCCGGCAGCAGCAGAGGATGGCGTCCATCAACGAGGCGCCGGTGGTGGGTAGACCGAAGAACAGCGAGGGACGCCACCTGCGGTGGGGTGTCCCCGGCCGCACCCTCGAGGGCGTTCTGACGTACCTCGAGGGCGGCAACGACCCGCCGTTGGCATACCCCCCGGCGAAGGCGGCCGCCACGGCCACGGCTCACCGTCGACGCGACGGGCAATGGTTGCCCAGGAGGTTCGGCGCCTCCTCTTCTTCCTCCTCCCGCTCTTCCTCACACTCGTCCGGCGCTCCGGCGCTGCTCGGCGTCAAGGCCGAGCCCGCGGCGGAGACGCCGCTCGGCCGGCGCACTCGCAGCGCTGGCATCGTCATCAATGAGGGCGGCCCCCGCGCCCCCTTGTCGGCTCCTCCGAGTTTCGTCAAGCCCAAGACGGAGCCGGGCCTGGCGCCGGTGAAGACAGAGCTGGGCCTCCCCGCGGTGAAGACGAAGCACGGCGGCGACGTTGAGCTCGACGATGACGCGGCCCTAGAATAGGCGCGCGCGGACTCCCTGAAGATGGCGAGGGAGCGCCAGTGTGCCGCCCTGCGGCGAGTCGCACAGCGCCGCCGGGGCCGCGCCGAGGGAGGAATCGTCGTCATCGAGGACAGCGACGACGACGACGCGCCGCCGCCACCAGCCCGCATAGGCGACGCCGGTCAGGGACGGCCGCGTCAAGGAGAAGCCGGACGGCGACGACGACGGCGACGACGGCGACTACTCCGCTTTTAACCAGTTCTTTTTTAATTATATATATTATGTAATAAAAACCCGCTTTTTAAATGTAATATATGCCGAACTTCGCCAAACTTTGAACTTTGCTATATTGTTTTATTTTTTTTAAACGCGCATGAAAACGGCGGCTGGGGACCAACTCGGCCCTAGGCCGAGTTTTTGCGCCGACTCACCCCCAGGGGATGATTTTAGGCGCTCCCTAGGAGGCCAACGGCTGGAGATGCTCTTAGTGCTTCCGTGGCGAGAGATGCAACGAAGGGCATAGTGATTGGCTGGCACCTGCCTTTAGTCCTTGCGCAGGCTGCATGCAGCTCCATTTCATCGAAGCTTGTGCTATTGCCGGGCGCTTGATGAAGCGCCGGCTCCCTTCTCTTTTATTTTCTCTTTTCTTCAGGTAAGATTTTGCTGACGTGGAACATCTTATAGTCTGCTGACTAGGACTTATTATACTTGCTCTAAAGTAGAAAAAAATGCTCTCACATCACACAGTGATTAAGACCAATAACATTCAACACATGGTTTACTCACTTCATACATGTACTTAACTCACCGAGGTTGAGGTAGTTAAAGAGGAGAAAGATGGTGGATTGCACCTTTTCACTGCATTTTTTTACCCCACTCCATAATGTGTCATAATTTTTTTTATAATGTGCACTTATTTATCGAACAAGTACTTCAGGTAAAAGCGGGCTACCAAATAAATCAGTGAAACACGGAGGTAGATTATGCCGGAGGATACGCAGGCTGTGTGCTGATCAAGTGAAACACGTTGGCAACAGTAAAGGCGATCACTACCATCAGAAGCGCCATGACCGGTCTCGTTTCGGCATTATCGCAGGCGCTATAATCTTTCCTCATCTGATTCACCATGAACAGCCACACAACGGCCAAGAACCCCTGCAGAATTCAGTTAGTTATATACACACCGGGCAAATTCAGTTTCAGGTAGCACATCGAACGCATCACGACTTGCTATTTTTTGTGGGGGGGCTTCGTGGTTAGTTACCTGGAAAAAGCGCCGGCAGCCGGACGTTTCCACGCCCCCATCGTCCGCCGGCGACGCCGTGCCGTGTTCTTCGGGTACGCCCTTCTCGACGTCCAGCAGCGGCGCCGCCTCGCAGCCGGATGCGTCGCACGGCGTCGAGGAGATCCGCTGTGCCATTGGGGGAAGAGAGACGGCGACGAGCGAGGCTTTACCCTAACTCTTTTCTTTCCGCCACACGCGCGAGTTTACTCTGGAAACCTAAATCGACGTGACGTGCGAGTTTTTTTTTGTGTGTGTCGAAGGAAACGTGGCGTGCGAGTTGGTATTTGAGACGTATGCGCCGTGTGTCCGTGTAAATAATCCCTGTATTTCTCAATCATAGGGCTTTAAAATTTAAAATACACACGCATGCGAAGAGATAAGAGGCAGCTCGCAGGGGCAAACCAGGAAAGTTGAGATAATCAAGGAAATCGCGCAGAACATATATAAGGGATAATAAAACAGAACCTTGGTTCAGTTTTTTTTCTCTGAACACTGTACAATACAATGACAGATGCTCATATACACCCCATGAACACGCATACGCACACACTATTCCTACATGCACCTTCGAGATGTTGGGTCGGCACAACATTTTGAGATTGATGAGCACGCACCTGCTCAGCCCTACTTCACCATTCATTCACAACGTGATCTGTGCGTTCATTTGCACCCGAAAATGCCTAAAAATCACACGTAAGCTGTGCACATCGGCGCGTTGATGGCTGTAAAAGCCGTTCAACAGTCTAGTGACCTCGATGTAGCTTTTATTATGGTTGAGATGCTTCGTATTTTTGATGAACTTTTATACTCCCCCGCACATGCGTCGGATATTTTTCCAAAGAAAAGGTGCGCATGGCCTGTAAGAAAACGATGTGCTTTGTTACCATCCTTGAGGACCGAGCGATCGACTTGAATGAAGGATCCATGAACGATGATCCATTGCTGCTCGTTTAGTACGTGTGGGTGCTCGTGCGGTTCTGAAGGAGCCGACATACGTTTTTCAGGGCTACAGCCACACTCCCATTTTTGTTGGTGCCTTCTCGTCCTGCTCAGACGGTGACCGATGACCGTCTTTTCCTTCATGGATCTTCGCCACAAATTTGCCCTGTCGCTGGCCGCCGTCTGCATCAACCCCGCAAAACAACGTTTGACGAAGACCGCCGTCCGCATCAACCTCCGCCGTCCGCTGGCTTCCTAGCATTTTCGCCCCACCTGCGCCCCTCTCCCTCCATTCGCGAGCTCTCCTCCCCTCCCTCCCTCGTCCCGTGCTTCGGTCTCTAGTTCGCCGGTGAACTGAAGAGCTGTGTTGGCCAAGAAGGCGGCACAAGAGAGACCAGGGTATTTCTTTCAAACTTCCAAACATCTGGCAGACAAAAGTGGCTGCATACTGGTGTTTTTTTGCTTCTTGATGTGTTTGTTGGAATGTGCAAGAACAGGGGTTTGAGTGTATGCAACAACAAAAAATTCGACAACGGTATATACGCGACAAATGATGCTATCCTCGTTTGCGGCAATCTCCTCATCCTCTGGAAATGACTTATCAGGGTTGGGTGCCCGACAGTCCCGACGATGGCACCGGAGACGCGTCCGCAGCCGAGTTCGGTCCGCGCAGGAACCGGCGAAGTTGCAGTACAGGAAGCTGGGAGATTCAGATCTCCTTATCAGCGAGATAACTCTTGGAACAGTATGTGCATAGTTGAACTATCATGTTTCTAATGTTGTCGTTGTTGTCACATTTCTCTTTACATCCTAGTCTGAATATTACTTCTTTTAGATGACCTTTGGAGAACAAAGCACAGAGAAGGAATCACATGATATGATATCTTATTCTTTTGATCAGGGCATCAACATACTCGACACCGCAGAAATTATCAGTCGACATTCCTTGCTTCCCTTCAACCACTGTCTCATTTTCTGAAGTTGATCCCAATTGTAATTGAAATATTTTCATTGCCTTTTAGTACCCAATTCAACCCAAGGAGGAGACTCAAGGAAGGACTGATCTATATGTAGGCAGGTGGATGAAATCCAAGCCACGAGATAAAGTAACCTAAAACAACCTAGAACAGCCTTATAATTTGTTTGTAGTTTCCGAATCCATTTGTAGTCCCCTGATTTCCTCTTCAGATAGCATGTTTGAATGGTGTCACTGAAACACGGCACCTGCCCAATTTATATTCTGTTTCTGACCAGGTAATTTTGGCCACCAAAGTTTCTGGTTATTCAGATCGCACTTTTCTTCGGGACAATGCAGAAATGGTGCGTGTTGATGCTCCAAATATAAAGGAAAGTGTCGAAAAGAGCCTTTCACGCTTATCTACAGACTACATTGATTTGCTTCACATACACTGGTAAGTGTTTATTTTGAAGATTATTCTTGATCAGAATAACTTCCACATCTTGTTCCAGATTGATCCATACACAATCATATTGCATACTTTGCATTTCCTTATATAACTTGGAAAATTGTACATCTGAGTTCTATTTTCCATCCTTTGGGAGTCTTTTTGTCGTCTTATATAGACTGTTTTCAGCACACATCCTTCATTTAAGCATAATTGTGTTAGTTCTTTCATTATTCACATACAATTTTTTCAGGTAGGATATTATTTTGTTTGTAGTACTAATATGTTTTCATTATTATTTTACTTGAAAAAAAGACAACCTTAGCTCCAAAGGTTTGCTTCATGTCTTCAGGCCAGATAGGTATGTGGCACTATATGGCGAATTCAGTTATGATTCAACTAAATGGAGGCCAAGCGTCCCATTTGAGGATCAGTTGAAAGCTCTTCAGGAACTAATTGATGAAGGAAAGGTAATACTTTTTTTTTTGAAACAACAAAATAATTAACTGAACACAACCTTAGTATGGATTCATCTTCCCCTAGGATTTGGTGCATGTATTTTGCACTTTTATAAAAAAACATGTGTATTTTTTATTGTAATAATAGCCTAGATTTATTCTAGATTATGACCATATATGATTGACGCGTTCATGGGCGCACATTTTGAATATGCAGAAGACAGCCAAAGATAGCAGATTGGTAACCGCAGACCAGTATATAATTCCCTGTTGGTCTCTTCTAATATAGGTACGATACATCGGCGTTTCCAATGAAACCTCGTACGGGGTAATGCGGTTTGTACAGGCTGCAAAGCTTCATGGACTTCCGAAGATTGTGAGCATCCAGAACGGTTACAGTCTACTTGTGAGATGCAGCTTCGAAGGTGAGGCAGAGATGTCGACCAAGATCTATTCATTTTCAGTCACTTGAACCCTATGGTATAATGGAGTCTGCACGCTTTGTTTTGTCGCAGTTGATCTTGCTGAGGTTTGCCACCCAAACAACTGCAACATTGGGCTGCTCGCCTACTCCCCGCTCGGCAGCGGTGTTCTGACCGGAAAGTATCTGGATGATAGCTGTGGCAACAGCAAGAGTTTCAGGCTAAATCTCTTCCCTGGATACATGCAGCGCTACAACGCCCCTCTGGCTAAGGTACACACACACACACTCTGGACCACTACAACCAAGTACTCCCTCTTATAGTGACCTAAAACGTCTTACATTTGTGTGTTTACAGAGGGAGTAGTATATTGCCATTCGAAATTATGTGCAAATAATTTTCTTGTGTTGTTTTGACAGGAAGCAACGAAGGAATACCTCAAGGTCGCGAAGAAGCATCGGCTAACTCCGGTCCAGCTTGCCCTGGGCTTCGTCCGTGACCGCCCATTCACAGCTAGCACCATCATCGGAGCGACCACCATGGATCAGCTGAAGGAGAACATCGAAGCGTTCACCAGCGCTCCACGGCCTCTGCCGCCACAAGTTCTTGATGACATTGAGACTGTTTTCAAGAGATACAGAGACCCAGCAGTCCTCTAGATGGTTTTTCAGCTTTCTCTGAAGCAAATAACAGCAACCCTCAGTGGATACAGACCAAGGGAACAGTTTGCTATCATGCAATTTCATATAGCAATTAGCTGTTAGCGTATATTATTGTTCTGGATAAACATTACTAGCTAAGAGTTAATAAAGTGCATCGGATGTCCAGATTCCCTCCATTGCAGCACTGAATGCACACGAGTTACAACCCACACTATTCAGCATTTGCACACAAGGACCAAATCCCATAGTCCGACGAGTCATGCGATTGAGTTCTCTACCATCTATACACACACACACTTCCATTCAGTTTTACAGTCAAGCATAATCAGTGCAGGAGACCCGCCTTATCAGTCATCTTGCAGAATTCAGTCATCCATTCGCCTGCCTTTGTGTGTCCTGCTCATCATCGTCACATTCGTCAGAGTAGTTGAAGTCTTGAGCGTTCCATCTTGGGTTTGTCAAGCGCCCTCTGCCATCCCTGCGACCACTCTCTGCTGTTTGCTGGTCAATCAATTCGAGCTGCTTTCTTACCCAAGGAGGGTCATCTGGATGAAGCCATAGCTGCTCACGGGTGTCCTTGTGCTTAAAATCAGGGCAACTGGCATATGGTTTGTATTGCCGGTTATCCCACCACTCGTAAGGGCTGGCAAAGAAGACCTGCCACAGACGAAGCCTTTCTCTGTACTTGATTTCTTCAAGTGTTTGACCTAATTGATACAACAGAAGACAGTAAGAGATTAGATAAGAGACAAAAGGACTACAATACAGAACAGGAATGAACAAAGTCAACTGAGAAGTACATACTATCCGCAGATGGTGTTGATGCCGGATCTACCGAGTCTTTATCATTCCTAGGCTTCTTGGGATCATGAACGTAATTCAGTTCCTTGACGTGGATCTATGGAATAATGGATTTCGTATTAGGAAAGTATAGACGATACAAAACATACAAAAGTATTTTCAAGACCAACAATAACACATAGCAACACAGGGAAACAATTGTTACTCCCTCCGATCCAAATTAATTGTCGCAGTTTTAGTACAAGTCTGTACTAAAGCTACGACAATTAATTTGGATCAGAGGGAGTAACATATTTTGTAGTTATTGAAGTAGAAACAATTTTGTATGCGTCGTATATGGTCAAAGATAGTGGAAGTAACTAGGACTACACAAGTATACACAAGAGGAAGGATGTGGTAACATAAAATCAGGGCTAGGACAGGACCACTAATGGTAAGAGCACCAAACCGATCTTCTAAATGATCTCTAGAAGAAAGCTGTATATCTCAGAATGGTACAGCATCATCTGTTCGTAAGAAGTTGCAATCGCTCAACAACTGACTAACCTTATAGCACATATACTTCTCACCAGTTCCACTGACTTTATGATAAGAGTTCAGAAGACCAGATACATGTACAAGGTCATTGTACTTCAAATGCTTCAGGCACACATTTGCCATAGCGCCCTTCATCTGCAATGTCACACTGTTCAAATTGTTTACACTGTAAGTATGGTGATAGAAATTTGAGACCACAAAATTACAATAATCATGAGTTGGAACAATCATATAACATTGCGAAGATGTAATTAAGTTTACAGGCTCTATGAAAACATGATCTTTGTACTATTAGATTAATGTTTTGCTTGGTGGATATAGCTAGAGTTACATCCCGAGGTGCTTCTATGTTTCACCTCTCAAGAGTTGCACAAATTTTTGACGGAGTGAAGCACGTAAGTCATCCCAAGCTCCAAAAGATACCGTGCATGAATATGTCTCTCTTAATATAGTCCTTGCAGATTACATTTTGGAAATACAACTTTCTACCTGCGCTGTTTCTACCACCACAAGCATTGAATTTGCTCCCTGACAGGATGGACCTAAGTTAAGTACATCCTACTAACTTGGGTATGACAATGTCCAACAGTCTACTCATACACCTGTGTTTCCTTTTCTTTCATATAAGAAGGTTACTCTGTTGTGCCTACATGGAGCAATACGCCTACCGCAATTGGACAATGAAAACTTTTCTGCTTGATACTGCAGTAGACATTTGTGCTAACCCGAGAATACCACAAAGCTGTATGTTTCTACCATGTTTAGAACCAATAATCCTCAGTTGAAGCAACAGATAGTTATTACTTATTACTACTATCTACAAAATACAGTTAACCAGGCAAGAACATAGTAATATAAAGCAGAATATAATCCAATCGATCAGACATGGTAATGAAGGCTACCATTTTTTCTCCCCCGCAAAGATCAAGATCTTCTGCACCAAAACAGCGAGCATGAACAAGAGAAAGCCGCGACCTATTTGGGTGGGGGGAGGTGGGGAGTATGAGAGGGAACAGTAACTGGAAGTTGGCAGAGGTCGACGAGGACGCGGAAGAGGGCGTAACGCAGAGGAAGGTGTAAGCCTTCGGGTCCTCCTCGGAGCTGTTCCGGTGCAGGCGCACCGGCGCGTTGAGGCGGCCGATGAGGCTGCACGAGTTGGAGCTGACAATATCCTTCTTACGCGCGACAGGAGGAGCCCGCAGCATCGACATGCGGTACGCCATGCTCTCCGCCTCCTCCCCTCCGCCGATGCCTCTGCCATGGTGGAGGAGGCGCCGCCACGCGGCGGCCGCCGGCGAGCGCGCGGCGGCGGCGGCGAGGGATCGCAGCATACCTGTCCAGCCGGCCGGATTGGGGAATGCCCGATTGGTTTCTGGACTTTTAGAGTGCGAGGCCTTGTGGGCCTTTTGCTTTACCGGGCCTTCCATGATTTTTTTTTGTTGAAACTTCTGATGAATAAGGAGTGGGCCGAATTCTAAAAAAACATGTTAAACTCAGACCCTCTTTTTTTTCAGAACCTTTTTGGGAAAAGAGTGGGCCTTTCAGAACAAAGAAAAACAAAAATCTCAACTCCTCTCTCTTCCTCTTTTTGTGTGACTGTATGCGGGTTCATCATTGGCCTTTTAAAACTAGCATCAGGTGCATCAGGGGCGGACCTATATAGTGCTGAGTGGGTGCCAGGCCACAAATTAATTTTTTAAATTTCAATAGGAATTGTTTGTATCCTAAAAGATTTTTTTGGAAATTCTTCAAATTTGTACAATAAGTGCTCCCGCCCCAATGATTTATCCCACTCCACAAAATTTCTAGGTCGGCCCTTGAGGTGCATACACATAGACCTGCGTTTGGGCTTTTCTTACCAAGTACCTCCATTTTTTCCATAAAAAAAAGACCTCCATTTTTTGGGAGGAGCCAGTTATAAGGGCAAACAAAGATAAGTAGATAACTAAGCGCCAAACTCAAAAAATAAGATATCTAAGCGCCATATGCTATGTATGGATGTCCCAAATTCCCCTACAATCCTTTTGCTAGGCGCGAAAAATCCCCAGAAAATAGGGAGGAGTGAGAATAAACACCTCAAGGTGACGTGTCAGACCGAAGCAACCAACATTCAAAAGATACTACCCTCTAAATAATATGGACATCTGTAAAGAAAAAACACATCATTAAGAAATTTCATTTGCGAGTATAAGGTGATAAATATTTGGAAAGGTCCATGAACACCGGCTACTCAAAATAGGAAGATTATGATGGAGAAGGTAGATGTGTTGATTAACCTAGAAATGGTATAATGGATGATATTACTTTGTGATTTATTCTTGCCAATTGATGCGAACTATATTTTAGTTGCATCCCTAGGAGGATTTGTGGAACGGTATTACATGAAGTTTGACTTGTTCTCATTGTCAAAAAAGTTTCACTTGTTTTTGGTGCGATAGATGTACCCCATAGAATGAAACCACCAATTTGGTTGAAGAGACCGTGATTGATGAAAATGAGGAGTGAGATGCTTGTGATATGCTACGAAACCATAACAAGTAAAGTGGACAATACTTTATTCAATTTATATTTCAAATTGATTCATTCTCTTTCTTTTGAACTATAGGTGATGTTGTAGCTAATATTATGTGCAACAGTGCATGGCGAATTGAGATGATGTATATAGACTAGATGGACCTTGGTTGGTTGCAAAGGTTCGTTCTCGAGCTTTGACACCACTAAAGGTGGCTATTGTTGAATTTGAATTTTGAACCGGTTTGTTGGAGACTGGAGATCACATGAGAGACATTGGATAGTGGGAGGCAATAGGAAGGGAGACATAGGAATTAGGATGACACGGTAGATGGTTGTTTGTTGTTAGCTCATAGGTTTGGTGGTTTGGATGAAACAAGAAAGGTCAGAAAAATGAATGGACAGACAATCACCGACTTAAATATTTACAAGGCGGCGGGCTCATAGGTTTGGTGGTTTGGATGAAACAAGAAAGGTCGGAAAAATGAGTGGATAGACAATCACCGACTTAAATATTTACAAGGCGGCGGGCGGTGCGGTGACAGTGGGTGCGCTTTGGCGGGGCTCGTGGAGGTGGTGATGGAGGGTTGGATCCGGATCTGGCCGTGGGGGCTCGCAGGTGGGTTTATGGATACATGGTGCGTGGCTTGGGAGGTTGACCAGGGTGAAAGTCATTTCTCCGGTCATGACTGGAGTCGACGATGATGACGCTTGCGAGCGTCTTTTCCTTTTGTTGGCAACTTCGAGGTGTTACCCTCAGCCACAGCCTTTACAGTTTTGGGGGAAACCCTAGGTCTGTTCAATTAGACGATAGCGACGCTATGGAGTTGTATCCTTCCTTGTGGTCATCGTCTTTGGAGATGTTGTTGGATCGTGGCAATGGTTGTGGAAGTTAGCTCTTCTTGGTGTGTCTGCGGAATCACCTTATATTGGTTGTTGCTATGAAGTCGGAGATGCAGGGGCAGAGTCCCTGTGACGATGATAAGACAAGCAGTAAGTGGTCTGATCGGTTGATCTTTAGTGGTGCCATAATTGCATAGTTCCTGTGCAAAGATCTCCGCTAGAATCGAAAACGTGTTATCCTCGGTGTCGGCGGCTTAGTGATTGACATGGACCTTCATGTGACTCGCGACGTGGGCTGTGTCGGCGGTCGTCTACGGCAAATAGGAGTCGCTTGCTCAGGAAGAAAGGGTGGCGATGACGTGTACTCGAGGATAAGTGATGACGATGGTGTTATTGTGCTATCTCGGTGAGGCTTCTTCATAGTGTTGCATACGAGGTATCTTATGTGTGACGCTTAGCATATCGTGACAATTTTTGCCGGATTCTCTCATTAATTAACTAGACAACTTTCTTTTTCTTCATTAATAGACGAGGCTACTCTGTCGCCTCCATTTCAGGAAAAACAAATAGGAGTACAAGTTAGAGTTGCCCCCGAAGTGTTGTGGTCAATTGATTTGCACTACTTGATTCCTCTTTAATTAGTCAAAACAATCATTACTTCCAATCAACCTAGCTACATCAACCGAATTAGTGGTCTTGCTCTCGCTCCGTGGCATGTGCAATGTGCCGCGTATCAAACTGGTGTAGGCTAACCTTTTTTTTTTATCGTACTAGTGTAGGCTAACCTTATTTGAATTGGACACATATTTGATCGCCGTAGTAATAATAATCTGAACTACGAGCAACACGTTTACTACCTCTTCCCTCCAATAAAAACACGTTACTACTAGTACTATGCAGGTGTGCAAGCAAGTCAAGACAAAATTTACTATAGTCGTTGTCAGGGATTGCACGTATACACCCAACCTGTCATATCGGTAATGATGATGATATACGGTGACATAAATCGAGGGTGCCTCAAACAATCATACGCGACATCGACGCCAGCTTCAGCACAGTAACAGGTAGCATGACCCGACAAGAATACGAATAACAGTGACCTTTTTTTGAATCACAAATGTGAATAATACAAAAATTAAAAGGTGTGGGATTTGAATTTTTACAGTTTTTTGAGTTTTTCTTACTAGAACAATTCAGATTTATCACAGCTTAACAGCTGTTTTGCTACAGTTTTTTAGAGGCAGATTGGGGTAAGTTCTCTCTTTTTTAGGACAGATTAGGGTAAGTTTTTTCGTGTGTGTCTTGATTATTTTGACAAGTTCGCCGTGATATTTTCTCGCCGTCGAATTAGATGCTTTGCGAAGCACCCGAGCCTCTTTCTCCTACCACTACGTCCTCCTCTCAAAATCCCTCTCCCTCTCTCTATCTCTCCCACGCGAAACAACACGAATATGACAACAGGGTCTCCCAGGTAATGGCAACACTGTCGGCAGCAGGAGCAAGCAAGTAGCATGGCGGGCTGCCCGGCTCCCGCTCCCCCGACCTCCCTTGACGGCATTGAGCCACGGCCTCTCCCCACCCCGTTGGCCCGGGCCGCCGCTCTATCCCATAGCCCTCATCTCTCTCTCACTCTCTCTCTCTCTCTCTCTCTCTCACACACACACACACACACACACACACAATCAATCAATTCCTCCCCTGAGCCGGCCGTCCCATCCCCTCCCTACGGTGCCCCTCTACTCCGTTCTCTCCATCCCGGTGAACACAATGCTTTTTGCAATAGCTTCTAGCTCATACCATGAGTCCGTTAGTGTAGGGGGAAGGACCTCTTGAATGTGAGTTTTAGAGTCTCACCATCCAAACCTGCCTAATGGTTTTCCCCTGCTCCCTACAGATATAGTAAAGGTCCCAAAACTAAATTGGAAGGGGGGAAGAACCAAATCAGCAATCTTCCCAAAACCTAATTTGTTCACCATTACCAAGAGACCACCCATAACCAAACTTAATAGCCTTAGAGGCCCAAAAAACTCCTTTCCAGAAGGTAGAAGCCTCGGCTCCTTGACGACAGAAGATATTAGGGTAAGGTTTGTATTTGTTATCTATAATAGTTTTCCAAATTTTGTCCTCCTTATGAAATTTGCTGCCAAAGCACTCTCCACTGCACAAACACCCTGGCTTGAGTGGCTTGATCTCCAACACCATAACGCTCTAGTCTCCTCATCCCCGTAAACCTCTTTTCTATGCCACACAATTTCACAGCAAATCCCTACTCTACAAAATATCTCTTTCGTGCTAACAAACAGTGGCTCACATACTTACTTCTGGCTAGACACTTGGCTGGTTCCACAACCCCTTGCCACCTCCTTCCCCCACCTAGTTTCACAGTCCACCTTAGAGCTGGTTAAAGTGGCTAACATTTTGTGTTTCGGTATCCAAGCTAACCTTCGTAATCGCCTCTCCCTCACGGCAGAACAAGAGCTTGTGTCGCTTGTGGCTATTTTGCAGGATTTCATGCCCTCGGCGGGGGAAGATCAATGGTTCCTACGACATGGCATTAGCTTCTCCACCAAGCATGCATACGATGCCCTCATGGCTCGGCCAGATAACAATCTCATTGCTCCTCTCATATGGAGTGCCAAGGTTCCTCGGAAGCTCAAAGTCTTCGCCTGGCTACTCTTCAAAGACCGCCTCAACACCAGGGTCAACCTTGCACACAAGCATATAAATCGATTCAGATATATGCCCCCGGTGTGCTAGGCTACCAGAAGACTCCAACCACCTCTTCATCACGTGCCCTCTGGCTAATAGGATTTGGCAACGACTTGGGCTCCTGCCACAAACCAACGACATCACGGACCTATGGGACGTCACTACTCCTCCTCACCTCTCCACCACGGCATGGCCTTCGGTCCTCTTGGCTTTACTATGGATGATTTGGGCAGCACGTAATGACATGGTATTTAGAACGGTCGATCAAAGCTCTGTAATAACCCTTAGGAACCTTATTTCTGCTTTGGACCTCTGGTCTCATCGTCTTGTCCAAACACAAGACAAGGAGGACGTTTTCTCGTGGCGTTCCTACCTCTCTACATGTTGCACCGTGCCTATGTAATTCTGTACTTACTGCCACGGCAGTCCTTTGAGCAATATATTCAGGTGGGGGAGCTCCTCCTCCGGTGATTCTCAAAAAAAAATTGTCCTCACTACATTCTCTTAATCCAAGCTCCCAGCAGGCAAATGTTAAGATCATGAATATTTCGAATACCTAGGCCCCCAAACTCTTTTTTTATAGAAACCAAAGGCCAATTAGCTAAGTGGAATTTCTTATGACCCTCAAGGCCATTCCATGAGCAATTGGCCATTTGAGTATTGATCATATCTACTGCCCACTTGGAAAACTTTTTAAAGAAGTAGTATATGGGAATGCTTGCTAGACAAGCTTAAGTCAAAGTAAGTCCAGCTGCATAGCACCGTAACTTGATAGGAGTATACAACGTTTTTTGACACTGTCACCTCAAAGTAAGAAATATTCAAAGTCCGTCCACAAGACCACAACACACACGCGCGTGACCAACCTATAGTTGGACGGTTAGGAGAACAATGGTATCCTGAGCAATCAATCCTTTTTCCATTCTTGTTCTGAGGTTGTCGGCTTCCTCCGATGGCACCGCTTGCACTCTTTGTCGGGATCTGCAAGGCTTAAGTCCTAGACTTGACATTGGTGTTTGCATTTTTCTGGATTTATTTCAGACTTTCCTGGATGTCCGTTGAGTGTGAGGAGATATTCCCATTGATTACAAGGCGCATGTAGTGACTTCGTCGATATCAATCTCTCGAAGGTGCTCATAAAGGTAGGATGTACGAGTGTGCGTTCATAGGGTTGAGTGAATGCTCGTGTATGTGAGCGATTTCCATCGTACTGTGTAAACAAAAAAGACCTAGGCTGGGATGAACATGTGAGTATTGTATATTGTCATAACGAAAAGAAAAGGAAAGAAGGCCCCAATACAAACAGAAATCCCCTTGCCAATAATATGCCCGGGCGAGAAAGGGACGGCTCCCAACCTTTTGTCGCATGCACACGGATACGATACAGAGCAGCCGATCCATCCATCGATCTTATAATCCCTCCCTCCGCGAATTAACTTGTGGTTGAGTTGGTTAGGTGGACAGTGGTATCCCCAATCTATCAAGGTTCAAATCCTGGTGCTCGCATTATTTCTGGATTTATTTCAGAATTTCCGGCGATGCGCTTTCAGTGGGAGGAGACGTTTCCGTCGACAACGAGGCGCCTACGGTGACTTCGTAAATCTGAAGATGATATGCCGGCTCAGTCTTTCGGAGGTGCTCATAGGGGTAGGGTGTACGTGCGTGCGTTCATAGGGATGAGTGTATGCGCGTGTATATGAGCGCTTGTGTCTGTACTGATGCTAAAAAAAAAATCCCTCCCTCCGATCCTCCTGCCCCTCTCCCTCCCTCCCTCCCCGCAATAGTAAAATTCGGTTCTGGAAGGCAAGCGAGGCACGCACGAGAGGAAGGAGGGAGAGCGAGCGAGCAGGAGATCTCTAAACAATTCCCTTCCCTCTCTCATTGGGATCTGAGTAGTCCTGCCTGCCGCCTCCTGTGCATTTCTCTCTCCCCCTCCTCCTCCTCCTCCCCCCAACCCGGCGCAAATCCATCGCCGAGATCCAAGTCCACCACACCGGACGAGGTGCGTGCGCCCGCCCCCCCCATTTCCAAATCCCTTTTCTATTCCCCTCTCCCTCTCCCTCTCCCTCCCCCTGCTGAAAACGAGAACGGAACGGAACGCGCGCGAGAATCTCTCTCTCGCCCATTAATTTCCCGGCCGTCCCCTTGCGTCGATCGATCGGTCGATCGCGAGCCACGCGAGTACCGAGGGACGCTACAGCGCCTTTGGTTCCTGGTTTCGTCGTCTCGTTCCGTTAATGCTTGCGCCTATCCGATTCCTAACCGCGACTTGTCCTTCTGATGCAGCGGCAGCGGCATTGGTTGATCTCGCCGTCGACGTCGGACGAGGGCGGCGCCGCAGGCATGCGCCCGCAAGGCCAAGATCCGTCCGCCCGCGGCCGCGACGCCGCCGCCGGGATCTGATCCAGCCCGTCCCGCCGCCACTCGCTCGCGATCCTCTCCGGCCGCTCGCAGCAGCAGGTGCGTAATGTGTTCGCCGTTCGCTCTCGCCGGGCGGGCGCAAAGCCTCCGAAAAAGCGAAGGGGGATATTTATTTGTCGACGACGAGGGCGACGTATTAATAACGCTAGCCAACCCTTTTAATCTGCATTTCTGTTAGGATGCGTATCTGAGTTTGTTATTCCTTTTTCTGTTTCTGTTAAGCGTGGCAGGAGGCGAGGCGGAGGAGGAGGAGAAGATAGAGACGCAACCCACGCGCGGCTAGCTAGGGTTTGTTCCATCTCCCCCCTCTCTCGCTCGCTCCCTCTCTCTCCCGAGGAGCGGAGGAAGGCGGAGGGCCGGAGGAGGAAGAGAGGCGGGGGATGTCGTCGTCGAACTCGCCGTGCGCGGCGTGCAAGCTGCTGAGGCGCAAGTGCACGCAGGGGTGCGTGTTCGCGCCCTACTTCCCGCCGGACCAGCCGGCCAAGTTCGCCAACGTGCACAAGGTGTTCGGCGCCAGCAACGTCTCCAAGCTGCTCAACGAGATCCCCGTGGCGCAGCGGGAGGACGCCGTCAACTCGCTCGCCTACGAGGCCGAGGCGCGCCTGCGCGACCCCGTCTACGGCTGCGTCGCCTACATCTCCGTCCTCCAGCTCAAGATCAAGCAGGTGCGCGAGGAGATCGCCAACGCGCGCAAGGAGCTCGCCGGCTACATCGGCCAGGCAGCCTACGCGCCCGTCGTCCCCGTGCAGCACCCCCACGCGCAGTACGCCGCCGCCGGCATGGGCCTCGTCCAGCCCCACCCGCACCCGCACCAGCAGATGGCGATGCAGCAGCAGCAGCACCCGTACCACCAGCAGCAGATCGCCGAGGCGCAGCACCTGGCGGCCGTCGTCGAGGTGGCGCGCGCCGGGCAGCAGCAGCAGCAGCAGCAGCATCACCACCAGCACCAGCAGCACGAGATGATGATGATGCGCCAGACCTACGCCAACGTCCACGGCGGGGCCGCCGCCGGGCCAACGGTGGCCGTCGAGCCTCCCCAGCAGGCCGCGGCCTACGACGGCACCGCCCCGTTCCTCATCCAGCAGCAAGCGTCGCCTTCCGCCCTGACCTACCGCATGGAGGAGCCGTCCCCGCCGCCGCAGTCCTCGGGCCACTCCCACGTCGACATGTCCCACGCGTCGCAGCAGCAGCGTCATCAGCACACGGACGGCAGCGACGAGGGGAGCGGGGGCGCCCCGACGGCCTGATGGCCATGCTCCCGCCTCCTTCGCCTCCCTGTGTCGATATTTCCCCCCTAGCTTTTTTTCCACGGTTTCTTTGATGTTCGTTTGTTGGGCACGAGTCTTTTCGTCTTCTTGATCATATGATATCGAACTGGCATCGCCATGGCTCCCCGGAAAGCATATCCATGGCTCCCGGAGGCGGACAAGCTGGTGATCTTGCTCAAGCATATCCATGGCACACTCAGAACGATGTCACTGTTGCATTAGTTTGTGTTTGGATTCATTATTGCAACCATGTTAATTTCCTTGAAACGATTCATTACTCCATAAAATAGCAGAAAGAAATGCGGATTCTCGAAAGATAACGATGCAATTTTCGTGGTTCGTTATTTGTTAGTCAAAGTACTACTAGTACTCTCGATCGATCGAGTTGGTTGTGTGTGCGCACGCCAGTTACTTTGTTTACTTGTGTGCTAATTCCAAAGTTACTGCACATAGTATATATATGCTTAGATTACTGCTCTGACCTGTACATGTGGTGTGCTAGTCAACTCCACAGGATGGCAGAAATTTTGAGAAGAAAATAGTCTAGTCCCTAATTAACTTCCTACTATGCCCTAATGTTATACAAATGCTTCACCTGCCAAATTGGTTTAGCAGTAAACAAGGAGCGTAGTATAGCTAGTCCTATAGCGCTGATAATCCTTATACCACCGTTCAGAGATCTGGGTCAGGAAATTATGATTTATGAGTGCATTAAAAAAGTTACCCTTGATTTTTGGTGGGAAAATATATTATTAGCGTGATTATATTGAACATGGAGGTGGCGATTCATCACTGGATAAAAAATTATGTATGTACCAGAAATTAATGTTGATTTCGATGATGTATTAAGATTTGGATTGTTGGATGCTAATATACTCATTTACTGCATCTACACGATAATCATTTCCTGGTCTAGGTTTTGTCACAGAATCATGCATGCTTGTGTTTTTAATTAGTCAGCAATTGACAGGCACTGGAGAACACGCACAATGTAGTTGCCATGTTAAAAATCTGCAAGATCTAGAATTGCATCTCTTATTTATATATTTTGACTGTCAGACTCTGAATTTGCACATGCTGGTTTGTGTGTTTCTGTCAAATTAGAAGTAGACAAGTTGTCAAAGTACCAAGTAATTCACTCTGACATCTTAAATAAATAATAAGAGTGCATGCATGTTTTAAAAATAAGAATGCATGCAAACAAGTAGTAGTACGATTGGCATAACTGTATCAAACAAATGATCTCTCGGGCTGGCTGTAGCCTGTAGCTATGACCCACGCACGCGCGCGCACACACAAAAGCCCAGCTCTGCACATCTCAGAGATTTTGACATGAGCATATGCATAACTGCTAAACTCTAGTATCGATTTCAGCCACTGACATATCATACTCCTGGAAATGTGCTTTGTCAGGCTCTTCATCAGCTGCCTTTATCCCTCACAAGAGTGACAGCCAAATAAATGCAGACCAGAAACAGAGGTAGCAAAGAGAAACTTATGAAGGGAGGTGCAGATAGAGACAGTGAAACATGCATGCAAGGTGTGTGTGCAAAGGGGAGCAAATAGTGAAGCGAGCAGCATGCATGCAGCTGGGGCAAAGTCAGGGGAGAATTAGCAGCCAGCAAGCATAAGTTTTTTTTACTAGACCAGAGTTCAGGAAGAAAAACAGCAAAGGATTTCTAGTTCTTCTGCATTATGCTTTTCGACTAGTATAGTGGCTACTTCCTTACATACATTTCTTCTCTTCCGGCCGATTTGTTTCTATTCACTATATAGCATGCTGTTTCGTTTTGCGCTTCAATTTTTTGCTTGGTTCGTTTGTTCTAGGATATATTCTTTGAGTGGTAAATATTTGCGAACCATTACCTGAGCTAAAGAGTGGGGTCAGTTAGCCATTTTATCTTATACTCCCTCTGTTTCTAATATACGTCTTTCTAGAATTTCAATACAAACTACATACGGAATCTTGCATAGTATAAAATGTGGACTCATCTATTTTGCTTTGTATATAGTCCGTAGTGGAATCTCTAAAAAGACATATATTTAGGAAGAGAGGGGGTATTATATTACTGATTTAATACTGTGTGGAGTATACGTAGTGTTGCGTAGGCTCATGCGACTCATGCCTATGTTAATTATATGCAGTTTCCTTTGAATATCATAAGCTAGCTAGCATGGTTGTTATGGATGGCATGATTCTATAGGTGATCGAGTCCCTTTTTCAGAAAGATACAAATTAACCAAGCCAGATATTGTGTCTAGCTACATATGCCTACATCTCTAGCTAGCCGTGCTGCTGAAATCATGACCGTGCAACGTGCAACCAATGTTAAGCTTCGCATGCATGAGTGTTCGTGTGTGCCCCTCTTCGCCACAATCCAAAGCCTACTGATCATAGCTAGTCAGACCACTTTCATTACACATGCCCACCCAGCCTGTTCAGTCATCAATACACAAGACCCTCAACCCTCTCAAAAACATCTTTTTTAGCATGGGAAAGTTGTGGCTACGCCCAAGTTTATTCTTCCATAGATAACTACGTAGTATAAGTATTCTTCCATTTTTTTTCCCCATCTTGTAGAGAAATAAGGTATATCTCGTAATCTCAATCTCGTCGTCTAGTCTCATATACGTATATATCTCATTTTTTTAGGGACATGTCTCTATCTTACTCCACGTATAAAAGCTCCCACTAAAGAATTAGGCAATCCACATTCTAGAACAATGTCCAATATGTGAATCTTGGACTACTAATTCTTTTATAGAATAAATGCATAAAAATATTTATTACTCATCACCAATGTAATGGTATTGTACTACTGCAGGCATTACATTCACAAAACTAGGTTCATACTATTTTTGTGCTTATTGATAGTACCGGAGGCCGGCATGGTTGGTCTTCTGGTCCGGTGCAATGGCTCTAGGTGGTGTGCACCGTGACGGCAAAGCGGACGGTGCCATTGTATGGGTATGGTTATGCAATCTCGATCGTGAGGGCGACGAGGTATACAATATCATAAGTCGTCGCTGATGGCATAGTTCAGATCTAGGCGTCATCTTGACCCTTCCCCCTCCCCTACCCGATGTGCGGCGGCTGGTGTGCTAGATGATGTCGTTTATTGTGACGATGACGTTGGCCAACGTTGTTCCCCTCAGCGC